ATGTCAGGTTAAACGACATGTCTGTTTGCCGTTGTTTGTCGAAAGGTGCGCCCCGTATTATTGTGTGTTGGGTTGCTCGTCAACTGGCAATCAGGGGGCGTGGAAAGTAATGAGAGAGCAAGCACAAGCAAGCACAAGCAGGCACAAGCAAGCACAAGTAAGCACAGGCAGGCTCAAGCAACCATCGCCACAAACGAGTCTGATGGCTTCTTTATTGTGTGACGTTCGTGTTACGTACTGTAATCAAGCTTGACCGCAGTACGTTATCACTGTAGTACGGAGTTAGTGAGAGGCAGGGCAAAGGGTAAAAGCGGGGGAAAGCGGGGAAAAGCGGGGGAAAGCGGGGGAAAGCGGGGAAAAGCGGGGAAAAGCGGGGAAGAGCCGGGAAAAGCGGGGAAGAGCCGGGAAAAGCGGGGAAGAGCCGGGAAAAGCGGGGAAGAGCCGGGAAAAGCGGGGAAGAGCCGGGAAAAGCGGGGAAGAGCCGGGAAAAGCGGGGAAGAGCCGGGAAAAGCGGACGCAGCTGTTATCTTATAGGACGTGGCCACAATTGGAGCCATATTTTTCTTCCGTTCTTTAGAAACATGCATGGGGTGGTTGACAACAAAAGAAAACGAAACCCTCTTGAACACAAACAACCGACACGGGCACTTGTCCTTCTTTTTGGGGCAGGTAATATGGTGTACTGGCCTATGACTTGTTTCGCTGGGAGGGACTGAGGCGGTCGGGTTTCCGTGAGCGGGAGAACTCAACGCGTCTTACTTGCTCCCTACCTCGCCGTTACTATTTAGATAGTGGAGCAGGCTGAGGTCAGTATGCGGGCTGGGACTTGAGGGATACAGCAATTAGGCAAAGTGCCTTGGTTTTGGTTTCATCTGATGCTGAGATAGTGCTGTGCTTAGGAGCTGGCCTCAATAAAGCGACTCGAGGGAGTTCAGCCTAAGTACACTGCTAAAGGTTCATGCAAGAACAAAGTACAAAGGGCAGAGGATGTGAATCTATGCTACATTATTCGCAGGGAAAGGACGACAAGATTTTGAAGGAGAGTGCATTCGACTTCTCAATCTGTCGTAAAAGAGCAAGTCTGCAAGCTGACTTAGAATGCTTCTGGCATGCAATTATCGCACTCTCCTTTACTAACAATTCACCAGGAGATCAAACTTCATGATCAGCCTGCATTGCTGTCGTACACGTGTACACTGTACAAGTGTACAACTCATGATTGATAGTTACAGTATGTACACGTGTTTCGCGTACAGGTGTACGATGTGTAAGCCAAGGAGAAAAACATTTTAACAAAAATTGATCCACATTAGGCCGCCGATTGCGCTCTGCTGTGGAATGGTACACTGTACACTGTAGCGTGCGTTGGTGCATGAATGGCACTAGTCACATGTGCATCATCATTCCTGTTGGATTTCGCTACTACATATACTGTGCACCCCCCCCCCCCCACCTGTCTCCCGGGCAGGGGGCACTCCCTTTTACCTCCCACGCAGCATTTCACCTCCTGCATTCTCCAAACGCTTCCGTGCCTACTTGCAATGGAGGAGATCCCACTATCGCTGTGAGCATCGATTCATTACCAAGACTCTATAAGTGAGACACAATCCTCTGGCGAACGTGAAGCTGGATAGTCACTCTCATCCCCGATCACCGGCCCTCCCCCCTCCCCCTGACGCCCAACAAGCAGCCCCAACTCGACATCCCCGTCCTCTGCACCATGACCACCGCCCTCTTCATCGTGGTCGGCAGCCGTGGCGACACCGAGCCCTCCCTGGCCCTCATCGATGCTCTTCTACGAAACCACATCTTCGCCCACGTGCACATCTGCCTGCAGTCCGACTACGCGCACCTTGTCCCGCCCTCGCCGCGCCTCACGGTCCACCTGCTCCCCTTCTCCACGAAAACCTTCCAGAAGGTCATGATCAAGGACTACATCCTGACGCGCCTGCGCTGCTTCTTCACGCGCCAGCCGTTCGACATCGTCTCCTTCCAGCTGCACTGCATCTCGGCCATGGTCTGCGACATCGTCCTCCCCTCGCTTTCCTCGATCCAGAGCGTCGCCGCGGCCCACCCCCCCTCGCTCGTCCTCGCCTCCTCGCTGGCCGCGAACCTCGCGTCCACTCTCGCCGACGCGCACGCCGTCCCGGCCGTCGTGCTCAACCTGCAGCCCAACGTGCCCACCTCGGCCTACCCGAACTACATGTCTTCCGTTGCCAACGCCTCGCTCGCCGCCACGGAGATCGCACATCTCCAGCGCCATCCCGCCAGCGTGCAGAAGGAGAGCCCCGCCTACCGCGCCACGTACGACTACGAGTTCCACTCCACGTCGCGCCCCGTCGTGAACAAACTGAGGGCGACGCTGGGCCTCGCGCCTCTCTCGGCCGAGCAGCTCGCGGACGTGCTGTATGGGCGCTACCCGCGCGTGCACGTCATAAACTCGTACCCGGCGCAGCTCGTCCCGCCGGGCAAGGACTGGGCGCCCGGCGTACACCATGTGCCCGCGCTGGCCGATGAGTACGAGCCGGCCGGATGGGACGCAAGGAAGGCGTGCCCGCGGGTCGCGGAGTTCCTCGCGCGGGGAGAGAAGCCCGTGGTGGTCAGCTTCGGGTCGACGACGATACAAGGATTTGAGAAGACACTGTCCAGGGCCATCCTGCACGGGCTCAAGGAGGCCGGGGTCGCGCGGGCGATCTTGCTGAGACGCGCGCACGGCGACATCGGCAGTCACCAGCTGACGAAGAAAGCAGCGGATGGGCCGTGGTGGGCGAAAAAAGTACGCGAGTGGGCAACGGGAATGGTGAATCTAGCGATGTGGCTGGTTTGGCTAAAGCCACAGGCGGAGCTGTTAGAAGACGCGGCGAACGCTGGGCGTGACGAGGAGCTGCGGGCGTGGGCGGCGGAGCACATGCTGGAGTGCACGGAGGAGCCGCAGTACGGATGGTTGCTGCAGCGGTGCGCGGGGCTGGTTTGTCACGGGGGTGCCGGGACGGTTTTCGCCGGGCTTAAGGCCGGTGTGCCGGTGGTGGTGGCGCCGATCCTGGGTGACCAGTTCTTCTGGGGGCCGCTGGTGCAGGAACTCGGGCTTGGGGCCGTCGCGGGCCCGAACTTGCAGAGGGCCGATGGCGAGGCGTTTGCGCAGGCGATTAAGACGGTGAGGGAGCAGGACGTGCGTGAGAGGGCAAGGGCTTACGCGGAGGAAGGGCATAAGATGGAGAAGGGGAGCGACGTTGCGGCAATGCTGCTGGGGAAGATCGTTGCGTCGGAGGAAGGAAAGTATTTATCTGACCGCACAGGACAAGCTGTCAATAGGGAGGCATACACATACAGTAGATAGAGCCGACGGCGAGGAAGGACAAGGCATTAAAAGGGGGGTGCTCTAAATGTCGGACAAAAACCTCAATATTAAAAGGAAAAAGCACTTGTAATTGTCAAGCAATCACTATTTTTTATGTTTTGCGACGGGGACACTCTCAGCCTGTCGTCCACTGGGATTTGGCGAAAACAACCACGGACACACACACGAGGCAGGCGTCAAGGACTCACACTTGGGCTGGATGAGAAGGGGCCGCGCCGTGACAGGGCATGCGGGAAAGGGTAGCGGAGGCGACGCTTGACCAGATTGCGAAGCTGAGGCGTTGCTGGAGGCGCAGCTTGGCGGTGCCATACGTAGTCGATGTGCGGCGCGCGATGTGGTGTGCGAGAGTTTCGAGCACGCCATTGGTGCGCTCACTAGGGGCCCCGAGTGTGAGAAAAATTTGGGAGAGACTCAAGACGTGGGGTCGTCTTTACTGAGGACATGAGCGACGACGCTGTGAAGTACGGTGGGAGTGCTATGCACACGTGTAAGATACAACAAGGAGTGGAGGATGATCGGTGGCGGCATCAAGCGGATAAAATTAAGATACGACAGTCGCCGCGCTTGATGGTGGCGTTGCGGTCATTTGGAGCGTGGAGAGTTGATGGTTGAAGCTCGCCGGTTTGAGGCGCTTCGTGAGACAGTCGGCAGGGTTGTCTCGGGAAGGTATCTTCACAGGAGTGATACGTTTGCGGAGAACTTGCTCATTGACGTAGTGGTACTTGACGTCTATGTGCTTTGATTTGGGAGTCTGATGTGTGGATTTGGCAGTTGTGATAGTGCCTGCGTTGTCGATGTGGAGGGAGGTTGGGACGGAGATGTTGAGGGCACGAAAGTCGTGAAGGAGATTCCAGAGACAGTTTGTGTGTTGTGAGGCGTGGAAGGCTGCTACATACTCCGCTCCCCATGTAGACGGGGCGACAAACTTTTGTCGTTTCGATTGTCAGGCTACAGGGCCGTGGCGCCAGAATGCAACAAAACCGGATGTGGAGCGGCGTGTGTCAAAGCATGAGGCGTAGTCGGAGTCGGAGTAGGCGAGGAGAGGCTGGGATGGCATGGGATTTTGGTATGTAATCCCGTGGTTGGGGGTGTGACGGAGATAGCGAAAGACTCGCTGGACGGCGTGCCAGTGTCGTTGGCATGGATCGTGGGAGTACCGGCCGAGGAGGCCTGTGATGAAGGCAAGATCAGGGCGTGTGCAATCGGCGAGGTAGCGTAGGCAGCCAACTGCAGCTGAGTAGGGGGTGGGTGGTGGTAGTTTGGTCTCGTCTTGGTGGCGTGCAGAGAGTACTGTGGTGTCGTAGGGGGTGGGACTTGGGCTGCATGCTTCCATGTTGAACCGTGTGAGAATGTCTGCAGTAAATGCAGGTTGGCTGATGGAAATGGAGGTGGGCGTGCGGTCCACTTTCCATCCCAAGAGGTGTCGTACGGGGCCGAGGTTCTTAACGGTGTAGCGTGAGGCGAGCTTGGTGCGGGTGGCATCCAGGAGGGGGCGGTGGTTGCTTATGGCTAGGAAGTCGTCAATAGTGATGACAAAGAGGACGAAGTGGGGATTGTCTTCATTGCGGAGCATAAATGTGCAGCTGTCGCTGGTGAGGCGTCTAAAGTGCCATAGTTTGAGGTTGTTCGCGAGACCTGAGGTGAATATTTTGCACGCTTGTTTGGTGCCGTAGATGTTGCCTGTAAGTACACCAACGTGGCCGGGGTGTTTGTATGATCCGTCAAATTGGGGGGGTTGGTGCACGTATATTGTCTCTTTCGGGCCGAGGATTTCGTGGAGAAATGCGGACTCTAGGTCCCAGTGTTCAGCGATAAGTGGGGTGCCGGCAGCGAGGGCGAGGGCACAGCGGACAGTATCTCGGTCGGCGACGGGGCTCGAGATATTGTCAGGGTCGTAGTGGACGTGGGGGATTTGTTTGTCGCCGTGAGCTGTGCAGCGAGTTTTCCGGGAGATTACATGGCCGGTTTCATCGCGTTTGAGGCGCAATGTGAATTTGAGCGGGAGAAGGGTGGCTTGAGGGGGTAGGGAGGATTTGGGAATGTACGAGAGTGTGCCGTGTTTTTCAAGGCTGGCTAGTTCGGCGTTCCACGAGTGTTCCCATAGGTGGGAGTCCGGTGCTCGGCGCGCCGCGCGAAGGGAGCGTGGATTTGTTGCCGTGTCGCCGGGTTCTGCGTCGTAGTTCAGGGTGTTGAGGCAGAATGTGGGCATGGACATGAGGGTTTCGATGTGATCATCGAGTATGATGGTGGGGGTGCAGATGTTGTTGTGGTTCTGTAGAACGGGGGAGCTGTTGTGTGTGGGGGGTGGGGGTAATTGTTTCCTAGATTGGGTGGAGACGGGGTCCCGGTGGGGGTCGTACGAGATAAAATCGGAAGCTCGACAGCGGGTGGTTTTCTTGATAGAGAGGTTCCAGGTGACGTAATGGGTGGCGTCTGCGCGGTATAGATAGCGGTGGAGTTGGGCACGGGGTTGGAGCTTTGTTTTTGGTGCGGGGTTGGTTACGTATCCGTGTTGTCCGAAGGGAAGTAGGGTAGTGATATTGACTGGTGTGGGAGACCAGAGGCTCTCTGGTAGTTGTTTGCTGGAGCGATGGGGTGTGTGATTGTATTTGTCTATGTAATCACGAGCAGCATATTCCCAGAAGTGTGGGGGCATGTCAGAGGAGGACAGTGCCGCGCGGACATGATCAAAAATTGTGCGATTGGCTCTCTCTGCGAGGGAATTTTCCTGCGGGGTGTGGGGGATGGTGGTGTGTAGGGTGATGTGTTGGTCGGTATAGTATGCACGGAGGTAGTGCGAGATATACTCTTTCGCATTGTCGCTTGTGACATGGCGGACGGTGTGTCCGTGCATTGGTTTGATCGACGCCAAGAATAATTTGACGTGGGTAGCGGCTGTAGCGCGTGTTGGGTGGAAGGAGGCAAAGAGCTTGCGGCTGCCTTCGTCTATGAAGGTTATCATGTAGCGGTTGTTGTTGGGAGAGAGGGGTGTGATGGGGCCGCACATGTCCGTGTGGATGTGTTGCCCCGAGGGTGCTTGACGGGGGTGGGTGTGGAATGGGGCTGCGGGAATTTTTCC